CCTGGTAGGGACGAGGACAGGGCCTCTTGGTGGTGACACCCCGCTTGTGGAACTCGCTCCCCAACGAGATTAGATTGGCGTCCTCCCTCCTTTCCTTTAGGAAAGAACTGAAACCGTGGTTGTGGAACCAGGCCTTTGTCTAACTGGCACAACGGCACTTTGGACATTGTCCTGGACCATATGATTGTTATAATAGTGGAAACGGCTATATGATTGTATAACTAATGTTATTGTTTTTAATTTATTGTGTATTTATGGTTTTATATTGTTGTTACATTGTGATATTGTGGCATCGAATTGTTGCCAGTGTTAGCCACTCTGTCCCCCCTCCGGGGGTTGAGAAGGACGGGGTAAAAATGTTGTACATAAATAAATAATAAATTTACCAGAAATCAGGCCTGTAAGTCAGGCCTCAAAGAACATGACACTGTCAGAAATATTAAAAATTAACTAGGTATCTTTGATTACAAAAGTGTGAGTTAAGCACTGAAAGAGTTAGTAGGCTGAAGCATGTTAGAGTCAGTGGGTAAAAGCTTCCGTTGTCCTGAGGAGTGCGAGGCAAACCTCTGTGAGAGAGAAGCTCTAGTGTGAAAGCTGCTCCGTGTAAAGCTATGGTGTATTTGTTTATTTGTGTCATGGAAACCTTGTTGTTGTAAATAGTGCAACCATATTATTTTCTGAGAGAGATCACATTAGTCTCTGTGTGTTTTTGTCCTTTTGATCACTTTGGGCGACTGGTGCCGGGTCACGCTGCTGCTGATAAGTTACTTTGCTCCTGCGCAGGAGATGAAGAAATTTGTCAGTATTGTTTTGTCGCTGCGAGACTAATAATAGCTAAAACATGGAAGGGGGAGAAAGAGTTAACTAGTAAGGATTGGAGAGATAAATTAGTACAGTGGTTCTCAACCCTCCTAATTCCGTGACCCCTTCATCCAGTTTCTCATGTTGTGGTGAACCCCAACCATAAAATTATTTTGGTTGCTACTTCATAACTGTAATTTTGCTACTGTTATGAATCATAATGGACATACCTGATATGCAGGATGTATTTTCATTCACTGGACCAAATTTGGCATGAATACCTAATATGCCCACATTTAAATACTGGTGGGGTTGGGGAGGATTTATTTTGTCACTACCTCACTACCTCTGAGGTTGCTTGCCATAGATGCAGGCGAAACATCAGGAGAAAATGCCTCTAGAACATGGCCATACAGCTCGAAAAAAACCCACAAGAACCTAGTGATTCCAGCCATGAAAGTCTTCGACAATACATTTATTTTGTCATTTGAGAGTTGTAGTTGCTGGGATTTATAGTTCACCTGCAATCAAAGAGCATTCTGAACTCCACCAACGATGGTATTGAACCAAACTTGGTACACAGAATTCCCATGACCAACAGAAAATACTGGAAGGGTTTGGTGAGCATTCACCTTGAGTTTTGGAGTTGTAGTTCACCTATATCCAGAGAGCACTGTGGACTCAAACAATGATAGATCTGGACCAGAATTAGCACAAATACTCAATATACCCAAATGTGGTGGAGTTTGGGGAAAATAGACCTCGATATTTGAGAGTTGTAGTTGCTGGGATTTATAATTCACCTAAAATCAAAGTGCATTCTGAACTCCACCAACGATGGATGGGAACAAACCTTGGCACACAGAACTCCCATGACCAACTCCGCTGCCCAGCCGAGGGAGACTTTGCGCGAGGACAGCCCTTGGCTGGATTGCGGCCTTGCCGGAAGGCTTGACCGTGGTCCAGCCGAGGGAGACTTAGTGCGAGGAGAGCCCTCGGGTGAGTGTGGCATTGGGGGCGGGGCCTAAGGAGGTGGCCTCGCGATCCTTCCGAAATGGCCAAATGACCCCCCTGGGGGTCGCGACCCCCAGGTTGAGAACTGCTGCTCTAGTGTAAAAGCTGCTCCATGTAAAGCTATGGTTTATTTAGGTTCTTGTAGGTTTTTTTGGGCTATAGGGCCATGTTCTAGAGGCATTTCTCCTGACGTTTTGCCTGCATCTATGGCAAGCATCCTCAGAGGTAGTGAGGTCTGTTGGAATTAGGAAAATGGGTTTATATATCTGTGGAATGACTGGGGTGGGGCAAAGAGCACTTCTCTGCTGGAGCTAGGTGTGAATGTTTCAACTGACCACCTTCATTAGCATTTGAAGGCCTGGCTGAGCCTGGGAAAATCTTTTGTTGAGAAACGTCAGGAGAAATGCCTCTAGAACATGGCCCTATAGCCTGAAAAACCCACAAGAACCCAGTGATTCCAGCCATGAAAGCCTTTGACAATATATGGTTTATTTGTTTATCTGTGTCATGGAAACCTTGTTGTTGTAAATAGTGCAACCATATTATTTTCTGAGAGAGATCTCATTAGTCTCTGTGTGTTTTTGTTCTTTTGCTCACTTTGGGCGACTGGTGCCGGGTCACGCTGCTGCTGAGAAGTTACTTTGCTGTGCGTTTATGAGGAGGGTCTTTCGTTAATGAGCCCACTCGCCCAACAGACACCACAACATCAACTGTTAAAGAAGACTCACATAAGTGAAGTATGTACTTAGGACTCCAGTTGAAGTCTTGTTCTGACACGAAGGAAACTGCTACTTCCAAATTACTCCAAACCTAGCAGATGTGTATCCCAATGTCATCTTTTACAGTCATTGGGCAAGACCTCCGGGAAGCATCGCTTGCGTTTCCGCTGGAGATTGTACGCGTAGCCCAGCATTTCAGGTTCCTGGGGCTCCACTCCTTCCCTGGCTGTGTGTTGCCTTCCGCGCTTCCAGGGGTTCCTCCCAAGGATCAGGAAGGAAACCAGCGCAGAGGGTGGAGAGGTGCGGTTTCCTGTCTCCAACACTTTGGGAACAACAGGCCACGGGTCAAGCGGAGGAGGCACCGCTGAGGTTGAGGGGCCTCCAAGGCAGAGACCCTCCCCATGCCTTGTAAGCGCACAGAGAGTCATGGCATCATAGAATACGGAGAGACCCTCATAGAATCATAGAATCAGAGAGTTGGAAGAGACCTCATGGGCCATCCAGTCCAACCCCATTCTGCCAAGAAGCAGGAATATTGCATTCAAATCACCCCTGACAAATGGCCATCCAGCCTCTGCTTAAAAGCTTCCAAAGAAGGAGCCTCCACCACACTCCAGGGCAGAGAGTTCCACTGCTGAACGGCTCTCACAGTCAGGAAGTTCTTCCTCATGTTCAGATGGAATCTCCTCCTCGGTGGCCACGAAGTCCAGCTCAACTCCCTCATGCAGGGACACACAACCCAAACCCTCCCAATAGATGGACATCCACCCCCTGATTCAAACTTCAAGAGAAAGAGGTTCTACAAGGCTCTAAGGCAGTTTAGATTCCACTTCAAAAGACCTTTGACTCTTAGGACGTTCTTCATCAGGTCCAAGTGGAATCTCCTTGGCTGCAATCTGAATCCGTGGCTCTTTGTTTCAGGGCAGCAGAAAACAAGCCTGACCTACTCCTCAATGGGACCTCCTCTCCAATAGTTCAACAGGGCTCTCCTGCCCTCTTCTCTTGACCTTCTTTTCTCCAAGCTAAACATTCCCTGCAGCTTCCTGTGTTGCTCTTCAGAGGGATCCATGGCTTTCAACCCTTTGGCCATTTTGGTGGCCCTTCTCCAGACATCTTGTCCATTTCCTTCTTGATATGTCTTGCCCATTATTGGACTTAGGGTCATTATCCCTGGTGAGAAAGTCTGACCAAAGCAGAACCGAGTGCGACGATGACTTCCCTCAATCTTGACACTATGCTCATATTGATGCAGCCTGTCCAATCTCGATAAAATAGTAAAGAGTAGAGACATCACACTGGCAACCAAGATCCGCCTAGTTAAAGCCATGGTCTTCCCTGTAGTCACCTACGGATGTGAGAGCTGGACCTTCGGGAAGGCTGAGCGGAGGAAGATAGGCGCTTTTGAACTGTGGTGCTGGAGGAAAGTTCTGAGAGTGCCTTGGACTGCGAGAAGATCCAACCCGTCCATCCTCCAGGAAATAAAGCCCGACTGCTCATTGGAGGGAAGGAGATGAGAGGCCAAGATGAAGTCCTTTGGCCACATCATGAGGAGACAGCAAAGCCTAGAGAAGACAATGATGCTGGGGAAAGTGGAAGGAAAAAGGAAGAGGGGCCGACCAAGGGCAAGATGGATGGATGGCATCCTTGAAGTGACTGGACTGACCTTGAAGGAGCTGGGGGTGGTGACGGCCGACAGGGAGCTCTGGCGTGGGCTGGTCCATGAGGTCACGAAGAGTCGGAGACGACTGAACAAATGAACAACAACAACAGAATTGCATTGGCTTCTTGAGCTGCTGCATCACATTTAAGTTCAGGCTCATGTTCAGCTTGTGGTCCACAAAGATGTCTAGACCCCATCCAAGCCATCCTATCTCTCTGCACTTCATTTTGTCTCCTGGGAAGAACAAGGAATGACAAATATGAAATAGTTTTGCAAGGGACAGTAGCTGAATGTGGAGATGGTAGCAGCTGCGCATGAACATTGGAAACCGATGCCCTCACTGTGGGAGAAGATGCAGGTCAAGAAGAGGGCTCCACGGCCACCTATGAACCCAACCCCAGGATACAGAACTTGGAGGACCATCATCCTTGGACTACGAGGGATCACCTAAGTAAGTAAGCATGAACGCGGAGTGATGTTTCTGAGCTCAGGCCTGGAAGGTGGCATGGAGACCATACCGGAGAGGTTTCCCTCCCTGCTCAACTTCTCTTTCTTCCAAAAGCCTCCTTTGGGATTTCAGGACATGCCGCATCTTTTCTCCAAGGTTATTTTTCTGTTGTGCAGAACCGAATGACCCCCAGAAGTGTGCCTTCCTTCCCGCCTTGGCTTTGAGGGTTTGCCTGGCCTTCTTCCTCCTCCTGACCCCCCCTCCCTGGGCATACAAAGGGCTTGACCACCCGCCCAGTGGTCAATTGTGTCTTGGGCGGATGGGGCAGGGAAGGCGGGTGGGAAGTGCGGCCACTTTTTTCTCGTCAGGCAGGAAGCAAGAAAGGAGTTCCTGGCTGGGCTGCTGCAAAGCCCCAGAAGAGCGGCCGGCCGGGAGACGTAGAGCAGAGCCATGGGGAACTTCCAGGGGGGGCTCTCCCTGTCCCCCAGCAGGAGCCTCTGCTCTCGACAGCGGGCCTCCACCTCCGAAGAAATGGACCTCAACAACAAGAGCAGGTCAGGAGGGGGCTTTGCGTCTATGCAGTGGGGAGGGGGCCCTGTCCATTCGTCCATCTGTCTGTCCATCTGTCTGTCCATCTTGAGAGGTGGGCACCAGAAGGTCTTTGCAGTCCCCGTCTACATCACCTTGTAGGATTCTGGCACTTGCAAAAAGCAGTTAGTGGAATGGAGAAATGTCCTTGGAGGAAAGTCGGGTGACAAGAGGAAGAAGGGCAGCTCAGGGATTCTAAGGCTATTCCAGGCATGGGCAAACTTGGGCCCTCCAGGTGTTTTGGACTGCAACTCCCACAATTCCTAACAGCAATAATACTAAGTGTGCACCGTCCACCGTCTCACTGGGTTTTCCTTGTGCCGCCCTGCAGTTGCCCGTCTGACCGCCACGTCGAACCCCCCAAATACTCCCGGATCAAGAACTGGGAGTCGGGCTCCATCATGTACGACACCCTCAGCGCCCAAGCCTTGAAGGTGAGACAGCCTTATTCAGCCGAGAAACAGGGATCGTACACATTCCCATTAATAAGAAACAAATTGTTATGGGAAGGCTCTCCCAGACATCTCATGGCAATGAGCATCAAGAGGTCTTTTGTAGGGAGATTTAAAAACATATTGTATTTTCCAGCACCTGGAAAGTCAATTTCCAGGATTTTCTCCTGTAGGCTTCTGAATGTCAAGGAATGGGTTGCAAAGGGGGCAGGGGGAGAATATGTGAATATACATATGTGAAAAGAGATCCTGTGGAAATGATAAAAGGGATCTCACTTTGAGATGAAAATGGAACGTGCATTCAGTAAGTACACTGAGTTGCTCGTCCCACAACTTCCCCTTGAGAAAGGCCTGCAGATGCTCCATGCTGTTGGCATCTAGAAGAAGGAGATATGGGCCCTCCACCTTCATACTTGGAGGTCTGGAGAAGAAAGCAAAGCCTACGTGGTGATGGGGAGGAGGGACACACATCTCCCTGGCTTTGCAGGATGCTGGGAGGTGACATGAAAGGCTGGCCCCTTGATGAGGAGCCAAGTTGCTTGTCCCACCACTTTCTCTTGAGAAAGGCCTGCAGACGCTCCATGCTGTTGGCATCCAGAAGAAGGAGATTTGGGCCCTCCGCCTTCATACTTGGGGGTCTGGAGAAGAAAGAAAAGCCTATGTGGGGATGGGGAGGAGGGACACGCATCTCCCTGGCTTTGCAGGATGCTGGGAGGTGTCACGAAAGGCTGGCTTCTTTAGCCCCTTGATGAGGAGCCAAGTTGCTTGTCCCATCACTTTCTCTTGAGAAAGGCCTGCAGATGCCCCATGCTGTTGGCATCTAGAAGGAGATATGGGCCCTCCGCCTTCATACTTTGGGGTCTGGAGAAGAAAGTAAAGCCTATGTGGTGATGGGGAGGAGGGACACACATCTCCCTGGCTTTGCAGGATGCTGGGAGGTGTCACAAAAGGCTGGCTTCTTTAGCCCCTTGATGAGGAGCCAAGTTGCTTGTCCCATCACTTTCTCTTGAGAAAGGCCTGCAGATGCCCCATGCTGTTGGCATCTAGAAGAAGGAGATATGGGCCCTCCACCTACATACTTTGGGGTCTGGAGAAGAAAGTAAAGCCTATGTGGTGATGGGGAGGAGGGACACACATCTCCCTGGCTTTGCAGGATGCTGGGAGGTGTCACAAAAGGCTGGCTTCTTTAGAAGCTTGATGAGGATCCAAGTTGCTTGCCCCACAACTTTCCCTTGAGGAAGGCCTGCAGATGCTCCATGCTGTTGGCATCTAGAAGAAGGAGATATGGGCCCTCCACCTTCATACTTGGAGGTCTGGAGAAGAAAGCAAAGCCTATGTGGGGATGGGGAGGAGGGACACGCATCTCCCTGGCTTTGCAGGATGCTGGGAGGTGTCACGAAAGGCTGGCTTCTTTAGCCCCTTGATGAGGAGCCAAGTTGCTTGTCCCACCACTTTTCCTTGAGAAAGGCCTGCAGACGCTCCATGCTGTTGGCATCTAGAAGGAGATATGGGCCCTCCACCTACATACTTTGAGGTCTGGAGAAGAAACCAAAGTATGTGGTGATGGGGAGGAGGGACACACATCTCCCTGGCTTTGCAGGATGCTGGGAGGTGTCACAAAAGGCTGGCTTCTTTAGAAGCTTGATGAGGATCCAAGTTGCTTGCCCCACAACTTTCCCTTGAGGAAGGCCTGCAGATGCTCCATGCTGTTGGCATCTAGAAGAAGGAGATATGGGCCCTCCACCTTCATACTTGGAGGTCTGGAGAAGAAAGCAAAGCCTATGTGGGGATGGGGAGGAGGGACACGCATCTCCCTGGCTTTGCAGGATGCTGGGAGGTGTCACGAAAGGCTGGCTTCTTTAGCCCCTTGATGAGGAGCCAAGTTGCTTGTCCCACCACTTTTCCTTGAGAAAGGCCTGCAGACGCTCCATGCTGTTGGCATCTAGAAGGAGATATGGGCCCTCCACCTACATACTTTGAGGTCTGGAGAAGAAACCAAAGTATGTGGTGATGGGGAGGAGAGACACACATCTCCCTGGCTTTGCAGGATGCTGGGAGGTGTCACGAAAGGCTGGTTTCTTTAGCAGCTTGATGAGGAGCCAAGTTGCTTGTCCCACAACTTCCCCTTGAGAAAGGCCTACAGACGTTCCATGCTGTTGGCATCTAGAAGGAGATATGGGCCCTCTGACTTCATACTTGGGGGTCTGGAGAAGAAAGCAAAGCCTACGTGGTGATGGGGAGGAGGGACACACATCTCCCTGGCTTTGCAGGATGCTGGGAGGTGACATGAAAGGCTGGCCCCTTGATGAGGAGCCAAGTTGCTTGTCCCACCACTTTCTCTTGAGAAAGGCCTGCAGACGCTCCATGCTGTTGGCATCCAGAAGAAGGAGATTTGGGCCCTCCGCCTTCATACTTGGGGGTCTGGAGAAGAAAGCAAAGCCTATGTGGGGATGAGGAGGAGGGACACACATCTTCCTGGCTTTGCAGGATGCTGGGTGGTGTTACAGAAGGGCTTCCATTAGCCTTGACTTTGGCCCCATCTGCATTGGCTGTTTAATGCACTTCAAAGACAGCTTCAAACTGCAGCAGCAAGACAGTGAATGGTCATGGAAGTGCTCAAAAGAAAGCCTTTGGTGCGCATCAGCAATATTTGGGAAAGCCCGCTTGAAAAGCCAGGTTTTCACCTTTCTTCAAAAAGTCAGGAGGGAGGGGGCCGATCTTATATCCCTAGGCAGGGTGTTCCACAGTCGAGGGGCCACCACTGAGAAGGCCCTGTCTCTCATCCCTGCCAAACACATCTGTGAGGAAGGTAGGACCCCAGAAGATCTTAATGTCCTAGATGGTTCATAAGGACACATACCTTCGGATACATAAGTTGGATCGAAACTAGAGCAAAATATTCTGCAGGATGACCTTCCCACATAGACAAAGGTTTGGGTTTTTTTTTTTTTTTGTGGTTTAATAAACCCAGGGACAAAAAAATCATGTTACATAGTGTTACCTATGTTATGATTTGCACAGGAAAGCTGCTTTGAACCATTTAGGATGTTAAGATCGTCTGGGGAGGTCCTGCTCTCGACTCTGTCTGTATCACTCCTGACAGCCACTGCTTAAACATTTCCAGTCTGATGTATTGTCGAAGGTTTTCATGGCCGGAACCACTGGGTTGTTGCAGCTTTTTTGAGCTGTATGGCCATGTTCTAGAAGCATTCTCTCCTGATGTTTCGCCTGCATCTGTGGCAAACATCCACGATCACATCTCCATCTATGAACCATCTTCTGGGGAGGCTCTCCTTTCGCTCCCACCACCGTCACAAGCACGGTTGGTGGGGACGAGGGACAGGGCCTTCTCAGTGGTGGCCCCTCGACTATGGAACGTCCTTCCTAGGGATATTAGATCAGCCCCCTCCCTTTTGACTTTCCGAAAAAAAAAGTCAAAACCTGGCATTTGAAAAGGCAGTGTAAACATTCCCTGTGAATGGCCATGGTAACCTAAACCCGCTGGTGTCACATTAGGACGTGCCCCCAGGAGCTGCCCCCCCCCCTGACTTGAGGTCGGATTACGTTTTTATCTAGGAGATGAAATGATTTGCTTTTATTAACTGTTGGGGTTCAGCCTGAGTTTGAACTTGAACCTGATTCTCTGTTTGTTCCTCCTGATGCTAATGAAAGTATATTTACTGATGCTAGTGGAAATGTACCTTTTGATGCCAATGCTCCTGAAATTAGTGAGGAAGAAACTGCTGTAGGTTTGGAAAATGCCAATGTTCCTGAAATTAGTGAGGAAGGAACTTCTGTAGATTTGGAAAATGAAAGTACCAGTGTTCCTGAGAATGTTTCAGAGGGAGACCTTGAACTTTCCCTCCCTTCTGCACCTGTTAACTGTAATGACAACAGAAGGGGCCAAATTTGGGAAGACAGAAGTAAATCACTCAGTTTGCGTCGATCCTCCCGAATTCAAGAATTAAAAACATTGGCTTCAAAACAGAAGGGCGGTTCACGGAACCAATTCTTGAGTTTTAATTGCAATACGCCGAGGCTGATTGTCTCAGTTCAGGCATCGTTTCAGAATTGATGAAGACCTTGGCAGTTCTCCCAGTTCCCTGGCCATAGTTTGGGAAGATTTCTAGGATATCAAGTACGGTTAGTGGATTGCTAACAGGTTCCAGTATTTCCAGTGAGGCTTTTGGTTTTGCTTTGTCCATTTAAATTCATGTTTGCTGATTTTGCTGTGGCTTTTGACTTGCATTTTTCCTTTATTTTGTAACCATTTTTCTTCAATAAAAAAGGATTGTTTTTCACAGCCAAGTGTGGTGGATAGTTATCTTAGGGCCTCGTTCCCTGCTCTGGATTGCAACATTGCTTTTATTAATTTGTTATGGTCTTAATCGATATGTTAATGTATTTAAATGTTTGTATGATGTTGTTGGCATTGAGTTGTTGCCTTGTGAACCGCCTCGAGTCGCTTTGGGGGCTGAGAAGGGCGGTATAGAAATGGAGCAAATAAATAAACAAACAAATTTGGAACTGCATTCAACGGTCGGTGTAGATGGGGCCTTTGATTTGGGGGTGTTCATGGGTGTTTCCTGGTGGGAAAGTGGGGAGGGGGTGCCTGTGTGTCAGGCCAGGCCTCTCCTCTCCTGGGGAGACCCCCACCCGGACCCCTTGCTCTCTGCCTCCTCTTCCCTGGACATCAGGAGGTGCCCTGCAACGAGAGGCGCTGCCTGGCCTCCCTCATGTTCCCGCGCCAGCTCTGCTCCGCTCCGGAGGGACCCCGCGGAAAGGAGGAGCTCCTGCCCTTGGCCCGGGACTTCCTCCACCTCTACTACAGCTCCATGAAGCGGTGAGTGACCATCATGACCATTCCTTTATGGGACTTGGGGGGATCCCTAAGGCAGTGTTTTTCAACCTTCCCAATGCCACAGCCCCTTAATACAGTTCCTCATGTGGTGGTGACCCCCAACCATCACATCATTTTGGTTGCTGTATTGTTGAAGGCTAGAATCACTGGGTTGTTGTAGGTTTTTCGGGCTATATGGCCATGTTCTAGAAGCATTCCCTCCTGACATTTTGCCTGCATCTATGGCAAGCATCCTCAGAGGTTAGGAGGTCTAACAACCTCTGAGGATGCCTGCCATAGATGCAGGTGAAACATCGGGAGAGAATGCTTCTAGAATATGGCCATATAGCCTGAAAAACCTACAACAACCCAGTATTTTTGTTGCTACTTCATAACTGTGATTTTGCTGCTTTTATGAATTCCAATGCAAGTATCTGATATGCAGGATGCATTTTCATTCACTGGACCAAATTTGGCAGAAATACCCCACATGCCCCAATTTGAAAACTGGTGGGGTTGTGGGGGGAGGGCTGTACTTGCTGGGATTTATAGTTCACCTACAGTTAAAGCGCATTCTGAGCTCCACCAACGATGGAATTGAACCAAACTTGGCACCCAGAACTCCCATGAGCAACAGGAAATACTGGAAGGGTTTGGTGGGCATTGACCTTGAGTTTGGGAGTTGTAGTTCACCTACATCCAGAGAGCACTGTGGGCTCAAACAATGATGGATCTGGACCAAACTTGGCATGAATACTCAAGATGCCCAAATGTGAACACTGGCAGAGCTTTGGGGAAATAAACCTTGATATTTGGGAGTTGTGCTTGCTGGGATTTATAGTTCACCTACAATCAAAGAGCATTCTGAACTCCACCAAGGATAGAATTGAACCAAACCTGGCACACAGAACTCCCATGACCAACAAAAATTACTGGAAGGGTTTGGTGGGCTTTGACCTTGAGTTTGGGAGCTGTAGTTCACCTCCATCCAGAGAAAACTGTGGACTCAAACAATGATGGATCTGGACCAAACTTGGCATGAATACTCAAGATGCCCAAATGTGAACACTGGAGGAGCTTTGGGGAAATAGACCTTGATAATTCACCTACAATCAAAGAGCATTCTGAACTCCACCAAGGATGGAAATGAACCAAACTTGGCACACAGAACTCCCATGACCAACAGAAAATACTGGAAGGGTTTGGTGGGCATTGACCTTGAGTTTGGGAGTTGCAGTTCACCTACGCCCAAAGAGCACTGTGGACTCACCAATTAAAGAATTGGGCCAAACTTTCCACACAGAACCCCTGTGACCAACAGAAGATATTATGTTTTCTGATGGTCTTTGGCAATCCCTCTGACACCCCCTCGCAACCCACCCAGGGGTCCCGACCCCCAGGCTGAGAATCTCTGCTCTAGGGCACGTCTACACTGCAGAATGAATGCAGTTGGGCCTTGCTTGAAGCCCCAGGGCTCAATACTGCGGGATTCTGGCCTGATGGTGATGGTGACAGTGATAGTGATGATGATGGTGATGATGATAATGATGGTGATGATAATGGTGAAAGAGTTGTCAATCTGCAAAGAGTTGTCAAAGTTTTGCAAAAAGTTGTCATTTTGCAAAGAGTTGACATTTTGCAAAGGACAGCTCCCAGGATTCGATGACATTGAGCGATGGCGGTTAAAGAGGTGCCAGACTACATTGAGTCAACAGTGTAAATGCATCCAAAGGGGGATCAAAGTGCATCAATTCAGTAGTGTAGATGCACTCTCAGTGGCAGCAGGAGGATCTCACAGAAAAGAAAGAGATGTCATTTGCACAGATTTCCTTTTGGGAGCTCAGGCTCTGGAAGCCCCCCTCCCCCCCCCCCCCCAGTTTAGCCCACCCCTTTTTGCCCTTCCTTGAGTTCCAACCCTGTTATCAAAGGGCCTTTCCTTTCCGAGCCGTCCCTTCCTGCCCGCTCTGATGTCATGCGCAATTTTTCCTTGCGCCTCCTCCCTTTGCCAAAACATTCCCTGGGCTCCAGGAACCCTTATCTCCCCATGCATGGAAAACATGCACAGGGAGGCCCTCCCAGGCGCAAGGGATGGCCGGCCCACACCTCTGGAGTCCACCCCCCACTCGGCCCCTCCGAATCCTCAGGGTTTGTGCAAGTTCTGGCGGAATCACAGATTGGGAAGGGGTCCTTAAAGGTCATCCAGTCCAACCCTCTTCTTTATGCCAGGCAGGAAGGCACAATCCAATCCCTCCTGATAGATGGCCATCGGGTCTCTATTTCAAACCCTCTGGAGAAGGTGACTCAATTAGTTTGGAATTGTTTAAGCAGAGGCCGGATGGCCATCTGTCGGGAGGGCTTGCATTGTGTGTTCCTGCATAGCAGAAAGGGGTTGGACTGGATGGTCCCTTCCAGGATAATGATCACCAGGATAATGATCACCAGTGGAGTCTTCTCTGGAGTTCTTTAAGCAACATCCGGCTGGCCATCTGTCGGGAGGGTTTGCATTGTGCATTCCTGCTTAGAGAAGTGGGTTGGACTGGATGGTTCTTGGGGTTCCTTCCAACTCTAGTGGGATATCGATCACCAAGGAGTCCTTCTCTGAGGTCTTTAAGCAGAATCTGTCTGGCCATCTGTTGGGAGGGTTTGCTTCATGTGTTCCTGCATTGCAGAAGGGGGTTGGACTGGATGGTCCTTGGGAGTTCCTTCCAACTCTAGTGGGATATCGATCACCAAGGAGTCTATTAGAGTCCTTCTCTGGAGGTCTTTAAGCAGAATCCAGCTGGCCATCTGTCGGGAGAGTTTGCATTGTGCATTCCTGCATAGCAGAAGAGGGTTGGACTGGATGTTCCTTGGGGGGTTCCTTCCAATTCTAGTGGGATATTGATCACTAAGGAGTCTACTGGAGTCTTTAACCAGAATCCGGCTGGCCATCTGTCAGGAGTGCTTTGATTGTGCCTTCCTGCCAAATTGGGTTGGACTGGGTGGCCTTTGGGGATCTCTTCCAATTCTAATACAATACAGGCTACCGGGGAGATCAGTGGGGCCTCCTTCCTTCTCTGGGGGACTTTAAGCATAGGCCGATGGACATCCATCAGGAGTGCTTGAATTGTGCGTTCCTGCATAGCAGAAGGAGTTGGGCTGGAGGGCCTCTGGGGTCTCTGGGATTCTATGCTTGGACGTGGTTGGTGGGGAGTATTTCCTCAGTTGCAGGAAGCCGTGCCTTTTGAGCCATTTCAAAGGCATCCGCTTTCAGTGGGACCTCTGGGCCTCTGCCGGCAAGATCAAATGTCCCTCATTGTGCGAGGCTGACCTGCAGCCAGGCAGGTTGCACACAGGCCCACGGATTTTCCAGGACACGTCCCGGTGGACTTTTAATTAGCCGCTAGTGGCGTAACTGTGAAACGGATCCTCTGACGTCTTTGCTCCCGGCTGTGTTCTCTGCAAGATTCTCCTCAGCCCATTTGGGGGTTCTGGAGTGTCATTTTGCACCCTTTCTGGATCCACCCAAATGCCCCAAGGGCTTGGTGTGCATGCCTTGCTTTCCTGTAAGAGTGTCTTCAATGGGTTGTGAGAAGACTGAGGCAAAGAAGGCATTAAGTAGTTCTGCCTTTTCTGCTTTAGCCTTGCGGACCTTTTCCCTGCAGGTGTTGGCTATTTGTTTGAATTCTTCTTTGGTGATTTCTCCCTTTTTCCACTTCTTGTGCATGTCTCTTTTGTGTCTTAGCACAGTTAGAAGTTCTTTGGACATCCATTCTGGCTTCTTTGTCTCCCAAGACCTGTGGCATCGCTGTGGAAAACATCTGGGCTTGCAGTTTGCAAGGCAGAGCAAGCACCTCTGGCTCTACAGGCAATGCATCTGGGTGGAAACCATAGAATCCTTGGGTGGGAAGGGCTCCCCAAAGGTCATCCAGTCCAGGCCCATTCTACCAGGCAGGAAGACCCAATCAAAGTTCGCCTCTGCTTTAAAACTTCCAGAGAAGAAAGAGGCTCCGCCGGGTGATGGTCAGGAGATTCCATCTGAACATAATAATAATAAATAAATAATAATAATAATAAAACTTTATTTATACCCCACCACCCTCTCCCCAAGGGACTTGGAGCGGTTTACATGAGGCCAAGCCCAACAACACATCAATAAAAACAACAAGCTATAATGAAAATACAATACAATTAATAATAATTAATAATTATACAAGAGAAGAGATTCCATCTGAACACGAGGAAGAACTTCCTGACTGTGAGAGCAGTGGAACTCTCTGCCCTGGAGTGTGGTGGAGGCTCCTTCTTTGGAAGCTTTTAACAGAGGCTGGATGGCCATCTGTCGGGGGTGCTTTGAATGCAATATTCCTGCTTCTTGGCAGAATGGGGTTGGACTGTGATGGCCCAGGAGGTCTCTTCCAACTCTAGGATGCTATCCTATGAAAGAGATCTTCCCACGCTCTTCTCCTTTTCTCCACCTTGAGCTTGGGTTTCCCTGCTCTAGAAAGGAGGGCACAAAGGCGCAAATGATTCAAAGGGCAGGGGGGAAATTCCTCAGAAACATGAGGAAGAACTTCCTAATGGGAAGAGATAGATGTTCAGCAGGGGAATATGCCTCGGCTGCCTGGGAATCCACTAGAGCAGGAATGGGCAAACCCGGGCCCGGGGGCCGGATGCGGCCCTACTCTCTCTCACCATCCTGCCCTCTTCCCTCCTTCCCTTGCCTCCCTCTTTCTCACCCCCAAGGGCGAGGTATAAATGTAGGAAATAAATACATTCTCCCTTTCTCCTTCTTTTCCTTCCACCCTTTTGTCCTTCCTTCTCCTTTCCTCTCTCCTTCCCTTTCTCCCTCTTTCTCCTTCCTTCCATCCATGTTGTCTTTCTTTCCTTCTCTTCCCTTCCTCCTTCTTCCTTCTTCCTCCTTCCATTTCCTCCCACCCTTTTGTCTTTCCTTCAATCCTTCTCTTACTTTTCTCCTTCCCTTCCTTACTCCCATCCTTCTCTTCCTCCCTTCCTTCTTTTTCCTTCTTCCTTCACTTGCTTCCATCCTTTCCTTCCACCCTTTTGTACTTCCTGCTCTTTCCTTCCTCCTTACCTCCCTCCTCCCTTCCCTCCCTCTTTCTCCTTCCATCCTTCCCTCCCACTCTCCTTTCCCTTCCTTCCTTCCTTCCTTCCTTCCTTCCTTCCTTCCTTCTTTTTTCCTTCCTCCTTCACCTTCCTTCCATTTTCCACCCTTTCATCCTTCCTTCTCTTTCCTCCTCCCATTCTCCTTTCATCCTTCCCTTCCACTCCTTCCTTCCTTCCTTCCTCTCCTCTCTCTTTCCTTCCTTCCTTCCTCCCCCTTTCCTTCCTCTCCTTCTCTTCCTTTTGTCCTTTCCTCCTTCCCTCCTTCCCTTCTTTTTCCTTCCTCCTTCACTTCCTTCCATATTTGCCTACCACACTTTCATCCTTCCTTCTCTTTCCTCCCTCCCCCCTCTTTCTCCCTTCCCTTTCACTCTTCCTTCCTTCCTTCCTTCCTTCCTTCCTTCCTTCCTTCCTTCCTTCCTTCCTTCCTTCTCTCTTTCCTTCCTCCTTACCTCCCTCCCTTCTTTATCTCTCTCTTTCTCCTGCCATCCTTCTCTTCCTCTCTTTTATCCTTCCTTCCCTCCCTCCTTCTGTTCGTTCCTTCCTTCTCCAGGAAGCCAGTCCTCTTAGTAGGAAGTGCAAGCATGCGGTCCCCAAGTTCGAAAGTTTGCTCTTGCTTGCACTAGAGTCTCCTTCCTTCTCTGGGGGCTTTTAAGCAGAGGCTGGAAGCATATCTGTCAGGAGAGCTTGGACTTTGTCTTTTTGCACTGCAAAAAGGGGTTGAATTAGATGGCTCCAGTGCAAGGATCTTGTAGTTCTATGACTTCCCAGTCCGATTAGATGCTGCTGCTTGCTTGCTAGTCAGGACGCTGTCTTCCTCCGTGGTGGTCCTTCTGCTGGGTGGTGGAGGTCCAAGGAAAGCCAGAAGGTGGCCGGTGGTCTAGGCCTGTGACTTGGGGTCTTCTGTCTCTCTTTAGGGCTGAGTCCCAGGCCCACACGCAGCGCCTGCAAGAGGTGGAGCAGCAGATTGCGGAGACGGGGACCTACCAACTCCTGGAGGCCGAGCTCATCTTCGGGGCCAAGCATGCCTGGCGCAACGCAGCCCGCTGCATGGGGCGCATCCAATGGAACAAGCTGCAGGTGCGGACGGGAGGCGGAGGCCCAGCACCCTCAGGACTCTACTGACCAAGCAGAGGTTGTGGGGTGCAAGCATTTGGTGCCTGGAGGTGGGCAGAAGTGGAAGCGCTCCTTACTTGGATGCCTCCAGACCAATGCCCAGCACTTCCAGATCTATAGGCAAAACTTGTGCGTGTGGTCACTTCTCCGGCCATTCTTGTTGCCCGGCATCTCTTTCCAAGAGCAAGAGTTCTAGATTCTTGGCCTCCAAAAGATCTTTTCCTCGTTGCCCCTGCTTCCAACATCCTCCAAGGCTTGCTATTTGGAAAGAGAGTGACCACTTCCAGATCTATAGGCAGAACTTGTGCGTATGGTCACTCCTCCGGCCACTCTTGTTGCCGGCATCTCTTTCCAACAGCAAGAGCTCTGGATTCTTGGTCTCCAAAAGATCTTTTCCTCATTGTCCCTGTTTCCAACGTCTTCCAGGGCTTGCTATTTGGAAAGAGAGTGACCACTTCCAGATCTATAGGCAGAACTCGTGCATGTGGTAACTCCTCCAGCCATTCTTGTTGCCTGGCATCTCTTCCCAACAGCAAGAGCTCTGGATTCTTGGTCTCCAAAAGATCTTTTCCTCGTTGTCCCTGCTTCCAGCATATTCCAAGACTTGCTATTTGGAAAGAGAGTGACCACTTCCAGATCTATAGGCAGAACTCATGCGTGTGGTCACTCTTCCGGCCACTCGTGTTGCACAGCATCTCTTTCCAAGAGCAAGAGCTCTAGATTTTTGGCCTCCAAAAGATCTTTTCCTCGTTGTCCCTGCTTCCAGCATCCTCCAAGGCTTGCTATTTGGAAAGAGAGTGACCACTTCCAGATCTATAGGCAGAACTCGTACGTGTGGTCACTCCTCCGGCCACTCTTGTTGCCCGGCATCTCCTTCCAAGAGCAAGAGCTCTAGATTTTTGGCCTCCAAAAGATCCTTTCCTCGTTGTCCCTGCTTCCAGCATCCTCCAAGGCTGGCTATTTGGAAAGAGAGTGACCACTTGACCTCCTCTTTGCTTGTGGATGGTCTCTCCAGCTTCACAGTACTTCAGAGATGCCTCTTTCTTGGGGGTCATCCTCCCCAATTCTCCCCACCCTGTATCCCTTGCTCATCCATTTGGCCTTCTGGGCCCACCTGCCATTTTCCCATCCTCAGTCTCTCTGGCCATTTAGTCTCTTGCATGAGGGTTTTGTCTGACCAAATGGACCTCCGCTTTGTCCCCAAGCAGGGCATGAAAGGGGCTACGAGAGGGCATGAGGCCACAAAGAAGAGCTTGGGATCCCTCCTTTTTGTTGTCCTTTGGCCCTTCACCTTGCCCTCTTGCAGGTCTTTGATGCCCGGGACTGCACCAGCGCCCAGGAGATGTTCACCTCCGTCTGCACCCACATCAACTACGCCACCAACCGTGGCAACCTGCGGTGAGTGGATGGCCCTGCTTCCCTGCTTTTGTGGGATGCCCCATTGATGGCCAGGCTGTGGCCTGACCTCTAGTTGGTGCTTCCTCCTCCCTTCCCCAGGTCAGCCATCACCATCTTCCCGCAGCGCATGGCAGGGCGAGGGGACTTCCGCATCTGGAACCAGCAGCTGATCCGCTACGCGGGGTACAAGCAGCAAGACGGCAGCATCCTGGGAGACCCGGCAACCATTGAGCTCACCGAGGTGAGGGTCAGCGCCCCTCTCACCTGCTGCCAAGCGCCAGATAAGGACACGACACCTGCTCATTGGAGGGCTCAGTCAGGACCCAGGACAGCGGTCACTGAGTGGCCAGTGTGGGAAAGAGATAGGACCGCCCCCACACCTTTCCTGCATTGCACACTCTTATGCGTATTACACCCATAGGCATTACCAACGTCTTGCTCCTAGTGCACAGTGGACTTCAGGGAGGGCACATCTACACTGACCATTTAATGCAGTTTCAAACTGGTATTGCAGGAAAGGGTTTCACTGTGCAGATTTATTTATTTGTTGTGTCAGGGCAACCAGTCAATTCTATTACATTTCTCATAGAACAAAGCAAACAAACAGACAAAATTTGTGAGTATGGTAGTTGATTAAATGTCCTTTTATCAGTATCTGGCCACTTGGAGTGCTTCTGGTGTTGCCGCAAGGAGGTCCTCCATTGTGCATGTAGCAGGGCTCAGGTTTCATTGCAGCAGGTGGTCAGTGGTTTGCTCTTCTCCACACTCGCATGTCGTGGATTCCACTTTGTATGATTGGCTCTGCATCTCGTGGTGCCAGAGCGCAGTCTGTTCAGCGCCTTCCAAGTTGCCCAGTCTTCTGTGTGCCCAGGGAGGAGTCTCTCATCTGGTATCACCCATGGATTGAGGTTCTGGGTTTGAGCCTGCCACTTTTGGACTCTCGCTTGCTGGGGTGTTCCAGCGAGTGTCTCTGTAGATCTTAGAAAACTATTCCTTAGATTTAAGTTGTTGGAGTGCTGGCTGATACCCAAACAGGGGATGAGCTGGAGATGTCTCTGCCTTGGTCCTTTCACTATTGGCTGCTACTTCCCGGCGGATGTCAGGTGGTGCAATACCGGCTAAGCAGTGTAATTTCTCCAGTGTTGTAGGGCGCAGACACCCCGTGATAATGCGGCATGTCTCATTAAGAGCCACATCCACTGTTTTAACATGGTGAGATGTATCCCACACTGAGCATGCGTATCAGCAGCAGAGTAGCAAAGCACAAGGGCAGATGTCTTCACTGTGTCTGGTTGTGATCCCCAGGTTGTGCCAGTCAGCTTTCGTATGATATTGTTTCTAGCACCCACTTTTTGCTTAATATTCAGGCAGTGCTTCTTGTAGGTCAGAGCACGGTCCAGAGTGACTCCCAGATATTTGGGTGCATTGCAATGCTCCAGTGGGATTCTTCCCCAGGTGATCCTCAGAGCTCGGGATGCTTGTCTGTTCTTGAGGTAAAAGGCGCATGTCTGTGTTTTAGATGGATTGGGAATCAGCTGGTTTCCCCTGTAATAGGCAATAAGAGCACCTAGAGCTTCGGAGAGCTTCTGTTCAACCACCTCAAAGCTCCCTGCTTGAGCAGTGATGGCACGATCATCAGCATAGATGAAACTCTCTGTCCCTTCTGGCAGTGGCTGGTCATTTGTGTAGATCTTGAACATGGATGGAGCAAACACGCTCCCCTGAGGCAGACCGTTCTTCTGTTTCAGCAGATAATAACATAGGTAAATAGGTAACCCCAGAACCAGGTGGGGATGTCACAAACCACAAAGCACTCATGAGAGGGATCAAGGGCTTTGTTTTGATTGCTTTTGTGCCTGTTTATTGTCTGGCCCTCACAGTTTGAAACCGGTTTCGAACTGCATTAAATGGTCAATGTAGATGGGACCCAAAGCCAGCATCCTATCCTTAGGTCCTGCACAACAAAACCTCTTCAGCCAGGAATGTAGGCCTGGGTTCTTCTGGGTTTTTTCGGGCTATAGGGCCATGTTCTAGAGGCATTTCTCCTGACATTTCGCCTGCATCTATGGCAAGCATCCTCAGAGGTCGTGAGGTCTTCCACTCCCACGCGGGAGGATTCCACTCCACCCGGGAAGTGTAGGCCTGTCTTGCTTTGAGAGGAAGAAAACACCAAGTCCTTTCTCTTGTGAAAGTTTGGAGAGTGGAAGGAGGTGATGTTTCCATGACATGACCAAGGCAGGAAAAGACCGCGTAACGGTGTAATGCTCAGCCTCTTTTGACAAATGGAAAGACAGCACCCAAAGTATGTGAAATATGTTGGAGCATGCAAGGAATCAGTGAGTGAGTGTGTGTCAACTGTAAAATAAGATGCATGAAGCTGATGAGGCTGAGCCTGGAACTTTTGGATACTGTTACATTTTTGTTCAGGCTTGAGCTAGTAGGTGAACAGACAGTTTGAAGAGAGAGGCAGAGAGAGAGAGAGAGAGAGTTTGGAGTGTATTCTTGCTTCATGAGCTGCTGAAAGAGTTTATCCATATGGACAAAGAAAGATTATTTTAAATCTCTTATAAAAGGAGGTTATGTGAGTTGATGCAACTGATCATGTTGTACACATGTTGTTCTAAACTAAGAAGAGTAAACTACTTGTTCTTTAGTGTTCACCTGTGTGGCATATTTTCTTTCTCTGGCAAGGCAATGTGTGGGCTGATCAAACGTGAGCTACACATAGTTTATTTTACATTACATCACAAAATATACAGTGTGCGAATGCTTGTGATGCTTGCTTGTTCTTGTTTTGCTTAAATAAGACTTGGCTACCTCAAAGTGAGCCATCCCTGTCCTGCCCTCACCTGTTGCCTTCTGCCCCCCAGGTCTGTGCCCAGTACGGATGGCGGCCCCCCTTTGGGCGCTTCGACGTGCTCCCGCTCTTGTTGCAGGCCCCAGACGAGGACCCCGAGCTCTTCCCGCTGCCCCCCGAACTGGTCCTGGAGGTGCCCATCAAGCACCCTACGTGAGTGACCCAGACTGCGGAATAGGAAGTCTGGTGGTCTCCTCCTCTGGAGGTTTCTAAGCAGAGGATGGATGGCCATCTGTTGGGAGGGTTTGGATTGTGTCCTCTTGGATGGCAGAAAGAGTCTGGACTGGATCATCTTTAGAGATCCATTTCAACTCTATGATTGATTCTCTCTCTCAATCATATCTATGGCTGGATGGCCATCTGTTGGGAGAGCTTGGATGGTGGCAGAATGGGGCCAGAATGGTGCCTGGGGATCGCTTCCCATTAAGTGACTCTTACGATCCCACAGGCTGAAATGCTTTGAGGAGATAGGGCTCCGCTGGTACGCACTGCCGGCCGTCTCCAACCTTCTACTGGAGATCGGGGGGCTGGAGTTCCCGGCGGCCCCCTTCAGCGGGTGGTACGTGGGCT